AGACGGCCCGGAAGCTCCAGCTAGTCCAGCGCGCGGCAGCCATGTTACTAACAGGAGCGGGACGCAGGGAGCACACAACGCCCTTGTTGTTCCAGCTCCACTGGCTGCCGATCTGCTACCGGGCCCAATTCAAGGTGCTGGTGTTGGCCTACAAAGCCCTAAACGGTTCCGGCCCAAAATACCTTTCGGACCGCATCTTGGCCTATGAGCCCACGAGGACCTTGAGATCATCTGGGGAGGCCCTTCTCTCGATCCCGCCTGCCTCACAGGCACGTCTGGCGGGGACGAGGGAGAGGGCCTTCTCGGTGGTGGCCCCCCGGCTGTGGAACACTCTCCCTGCAGACATCAGACAGGCGCCCTCCCTCATGTCCTTCCGAAAAAGCCTTAAGACATGGCTGTTCGAGAAGGCATTCAATTAAGTGCTATAATAATGCGGTAAAGATGATTGGAATGGAATAAGGAATATGAGATTGGTTATGATTCCACTATGAGACGAAGCGGATTTTTAGTGTAGTTTTGTAATTGTTATGTAGTTTATATGGTTGTAATTGCCTTTTGTAAATTGTCTTTTATATGTGTGTACACCGCCATGAGTCGCCCTGAAGGGCTGAGAATGGCGGTTAATAAATGCATCAAATAAATAAATAAATAAATAAATAACAGTTACTACAAATATTGGAATTCATTCATCATGTCACAGGGCATCAGCTCCCCTTACCAAAAACTAAGCTCGGAACTTACAAGTTCCAATGAGTTCAAGTTACCACTCCCATCAATGAAACATCTGGTCTTCCATTCAAAACCTGTCAGTCACAGTTTCACCTAGGATGGATATTAACATGCTGGCCAGGAGCACTAGTGCAACTGATCCTTTCAAAATACTTTAAAATAGATTTGTAAAGAGTGATGAATATTGAGATGAGAAGAAGAATTAAAAGCCCTTCAGAAAAGTATCAATGGAAAACGAAGAGAAACCATTTTCATGTACTGAAAGTTAGTACTTCAAGACTATCTGGTGTGGGGCAACTGACTTTTTTTAATGTACCACAGACAAGGAGTATGAAGCAATTGAAGTCATTGAGCATTTGTACTCATTGGCTACAACTGCTTCATTCTTTCCAGGAACTGGCAGATGATGTTTCATGAACAAGGACTGATCTAGGGACTATCACTTTTAAGTAGCAGTGACATGAAAGCATAATAGACAATCAAATCTAAAGATTAATCTGTTTATTTTAATTTATTTATCCATCCATTCAATCCAATATTATTTGTGTGAATTGTAAAATCAACCATGTTGTTTTTGGGGTACTTTAATTGTTCAATACTTAGAATAGCAAAACTGTATATGGTTTTTATAAATCAGTAGAAATCAGTTCAAAATAGACCCAAGAAAAAAGCTCTTGAGGAAACAGTGTGCAATTAGTGTCCAACTTAGTACTAGACAAATAACCAATTACAACAGATGTATTGAGGAAGACTGCAATGTAAATAATTTTACATTAAAGTAAGGATTTCCCTGAGACAGGGAGTCTCCTGCATTGACATGTATGTTCCAGTCTTGTGGAATCCACAGGCATTTTATGTGGAATCCACACGCATTTTCAGAGCTTCAGTTCATGAGGCTGAACCTTGATATTGTAGCACTTTTATATTTAACATACTTTATTTTCAAAAGGCTACAAGACAAAGGTTCTAACTATCATGATGGGCGAAGAAATATATATGAAGATATAAATGGATTTGGTCTGAAATATGAGGTTTCCTTGGAGAAGCAGGTCCTGCCAGTAGACTCTCACAACCTAGTGACCCTAAGAACATTATGGATCCAGACATTAGCCTGAAGGCAAGATTCCACCATAGAAGTTACCTGAACACGTGGCAACATTCATCCCCTAAGTCACCAATAACTTAGTGAGTTAGTGGTGTGCCAGGTAGGGGTTCCAGGACTATAAGCCCAGGAAGCATTCTATTCAGGCTGAAAGGAGTGCATGCAACACCTGTTTGGCTTAGGGTATGAATGAAAATTGAGAAAAGGGAAACTAAATCATAATAAAAGTAAAACTGTGCTTAGAATATCTATCTTTGGTTCAAAGCCTTCCTAAGCTAGGAAAACAGACAATAATGAGGAGGTGAAAGAAAAAGATACTAATAATGGTATGAAAGGCAAGATATATTAAAAATAATAAGAATTTTAATAAGACCCTAGATTAAATGCAATCTCAACAGGTATATGTTAACTGAGTACAACAGTCTAATATACTTTAAATTATTACTGTTGTCATTGTCATCTTCATCATCATCATCATCATTAATTAGGAAAAAATATCTTATAGACATGTTGCCACCATGAGAACTCTTTGCTCTCTAAAAACTTTAATTCTTCACTCCTACTAATTTCAGAAGACAGTTAAGCAAAACATTTCAACATTGACATACTTAAGTGCTTCAATATGGATGGATTGTTTTCTTACTCACTTTTATTTTATTGATAAAATTTAACTGTTCCTCCAATAGCAGCTCAATCAATGTTCTTTTTCATGTAAATTAACTGATAAACATGGAACAAATCTTCAACTCGAGCTGCAACACTAAACTGTAGCTCACCATCTCTAAACTCTGTGGAAGCGCTGTTTGGCAATTCTGTCATAGAGTTTTGCTCAATTTAAATACTTCTTTTTTAAAGACTCTTTGAAAACATAAATAAAATCCAACTAGGACATCTTTGCAAGTTAAAATATCAGAAATAAACTCTAATCCAAATGTGATTACATGTCTTATACGTTCAAAAACTGCAGTAATTTCTAAACCAATATATTGTTTCTGCCATATACTCAAGCTATACACATACATACATACATACATACATACATACATACATACATACACACACACACACACACACAGAGGTATATACCATATACATATAACAAGTTGGTGAGCTACATTCTATGGAACACCTCACTTCTGTCTTCTAACAAAACATGCTCTGCAAAGGCCATCCTAAAACTTTCCACTGCCTGAGAAAGATGGAACACATAGTACAGATTTCTCACACATATGCATGAAATAATCTGAAAATTGCAACAAATCTGTTAAAGATCACTGGCTGTAATAGTGAAGCATGTAACAATATGACACTAAATAAATTAATAGGCAACAATACTTTTATGTCAATAATCCATTTTCCACACATTTCCACTAGTTGAAAAATAATCAAAATGTAAAGCCATGTACTTATCTCAACAACCAACAGATTAATAATCATAAAGGTTTCCTCATTGTACACAGGCAGAGTACAACTTAAGAGTGGAGTGTTTTTACATTCTTAATGCATTTCAGGGTTCATATTACATTTTTAAAAGTCTTCCTTTCGAAAAAGATGTTTAAAAGTCCTTAACTTAGAATTCATAATGCCTAGGACACTGTTTTAAATTAGCAACACATTAAAAATCTGCAAAGATCATAGAATCATAGAGTTGGAAGAGACAACACGGGCCATCCAATTCAACCTCCTGTAACGCATTATGGAACAAAGTACAACATAATGCAAAGTGATACGTCAGCATCAGCAGTCTTAAATTTATTGAATTGCATTATTAAATAAAATCAAAGAATCAATTCTTCCAGCCTAAAGTTAGCATCCAAATAAACCTCAACCTATATAATGTATAAAACCGAATGTGTGAATCCTGGAGAAAACTAGCTTCTATAAAAACATGGGTTTTACAGATAACACATCTGAAATAACTTGTATTTTCCCCTCCAGAGAGACAACTACACAGCAAGCTTCTACAGAACATAATATCTTTCATCCAGCATTTATTTATTATATTTATACCCTGCCGTCTCTCATCCCGAAGGGGACTCAGAGCAGCTTACAAGTAGGCAATAATTCAATGCCGCGTAAACAGACATCCAAATAAAACAAACATATACATTAAAAACATCAAAACATTAAAACCAATTATTAAAACCACACAATCAAAAAAATCATAGTCCAGGCGCCATTTCAGCATGGATTGGAGGAGAAAACCAAGGAATACAATGTAAAGGAAAATTCATTTCGTGAACCAGCCCTTAATTTATACTATTCACCAGTCCTTTAGCTGAAAAAATATTCCTGAAAAAATCATAATAAAATACATGGAATCATATCAAACCAGCATTTCTCAGAAATAATATTATTGTAAATATGTTTTATTGAAAACATATATACAACAACGGTACTTTTCCCCTTTAACAATGCTTTTAAAACCACCACACAATGTGACAAAAAGATAAACAATGCTAGAAAACAAAGCTAATCCTTGAAGGTTTCTGAAGTACAGTGGGCCTTTGGTATTTGCTGGGCCACACCTGCTCTGGATGCCTAAATCGATAGATGCTCAAGTCTCACGATATGTAATAGCACAGTAAAATGATGTCCCAATCAATGGATATAGGAATCCACAGAAACAGAGGGCTGACTGTACTGTTAAAATTGTAGAAGAAGTGGATAATGATTAGGAAGTAGGGTCCACCCTACTTTCATTTATTTCAAAACAGCTTGGCTACAGGTTCCAGGCTAGTTGTGTCCAATCCATTTCTAAAGAAATATATTATGTACATTTATCAAATAATTGACAACTCATTTCAATTACCTTCGTCAACAATCTTGTAAAATAACCCTCCTTCTTGTAAGTCCTCTGACACTTATACATCCTCCATGCAACAAGTATTTAATTGAGGAAAAATGTTATCTCTTTGACCACATCTACAAATGTGTTATCTTAAAATGTATTAAGGATCACCCTTGCTAACCTTCAATAAGCAAACCCTTTCATGGCCTAGTTCCTTCTCCCCTATTTGTTACAGGCTCCTTCTCCCCTATTTATTACAGGAATGTACAAACTTGGCAGCAAGAATCTTTCCAGAATGCTTGATAATTAGCAACGTAGCAGGCCCAGACTGTTAACAAAGCTAACAGGAAAAATATATTCAATTGCGACAAAACTTACATAGTCATGAAAGGCTTTAGCTTCACTTGAGTGTTCACATGTTTCACGTCTTTCTGGAGCTGCACAGTAGAGATCCCAAAATACACTAAAATGAAAGAAAGATACTGTAACTTTTCATTTTAAATTATCCATATGATCCAAAATGCATGCCCAGAATATAAGTTATTATTGCACCCACTGAGGTAATTACTATCTGGCTTTTCTAAACATCTTAGATATTACATAAAACTGTCATACAACACCCTGAAGCATTTGTTCTCTTACACAAGTCTCACATAAGACACTGATTGGCAGATGCCATATGTACTGAGGATCCTTTCAATGGCCATATGAATTACCTTCAGTCATGATGTATGTGTTTTTTTCCTCCCTGAGCAACCATTTCATAATATATATATCTTTAAAAATTATTGAGAAATATATCAAGAATCTCCCCTCTACAGAGAAAAGGAAAAATCTGTTTGCCACCTTGATTTATTCCCCAAAGACAGTGACCACATGCAATTTAGCATTTAAACCCACTTAAATAATATCATAATGGCTACAAGAATAAAGTTCACCACTGTAGTCCTGATAACTAAAAAATCTTTTGGAATAATTGCCATCATGACAAAGAGAAGTACAATTTATTATAACTAATAACATAACAAATTAATACAACTAATGAAATGAAAATCTGTAACAATTGCACGAGACTACTTCTGACTATAATATGCTTTTATATCAATACTGCAGTCCCAGCACATCTGTGACAGCAGATATTCTGATAGTGGGCCTCTTTGCCCTGTCAGCATCATCTGCATCGTTCTGAGTGAGGGAAAATTCATAACCTAGCTGTACAACAGCGTATGTTTTATTGATTTTAATTGGGATACTTTTTATTTTTGAAATGTGCTGTTTTTATGTGGACTGATATTACCATTGTTGATGTGATTTTACCTGTATTTTATGTGTTTATGGCATGTGTACGTGCTTCTGTAAGCTGCCCCAAGTCCTTTTTGGGAGATGGTGGCAGGGTATAAATAAAGTTTTTTAAAAATATTATTATTATTATTATTATTATTATTATTATTATTATTATTATTATTGGGCAGAAATGGAGAAGAGTTTGCTGGTAAAATAAAGTGAAGACAAATATTACTTTTAATAAATTATTTGCATCCTTCTTCCTTTTTATCCTAAGTTTTCTCCATCTATTTACATCCCAATTGATGCAAATAATTTTAAAACTCCTCATATGCAAGGAACAAATATGGGAAATTATACTAGTATTAATAGAGTAAAACAAGTTGATATAATCCAGAGACTGTTTGATCTCTGCTGAGATCTGGCCCCTTATATGTATTTAATCATGCAATGGACATGTCTTTTAAGATCAAAACAGCATTTGAATTGGGTTTCTTCATTTATATACCTGGCAGTTGTCCTGTGGAGACATGTCTGTATACAGTTACCCCATTTTTCCTTCTGACATTAATGTTGACATTTTAAATGTGTTTTAAAGATTATTTTAACCATGAACAAAATAATGTCAAAGTTAAAAGAAACTTACAAGAAATGTAAACTCATCCTGTGTTTTGGTCTCTGTCTTGTGTGATTGAGGTGTATTTTATAGACATTATTGAGGTGTATTTTATAGACATGCTTGATATGTATCTTTTATGGAACTGCATTTCAATATGTATGAAATTTTATAGTATTAGTGTGATTTTTACTGTGCTGTGACCTGCCTCAAGCCATGAGAAGAGGTGGGTAAATAATAATAATAATAATAATAATAATAATAATAATAATAATAATAATAATTATTATTATTATTATTATTAAATGAGTTCCCAAATTTTTCAACGGTGCAGCCTTATTCAACATGCCAAGCATGAGATCCACAAGAACAATGGATGATCAGCAAACTGGTACATGTTGCGTAACTGCTCCTACAGTAAAAAGTGTCATTTTACTGTTTGTTTATTATGTTGTCTGGCAGTCAGAAACTTCTTTTCCCTGGTTTGCTCCCTTTCAACAAACTAAAGAAAGAACCTTTTGTTTGATAGAGGAGAACAAACCAGGGAAGGGAAGCTGTTGGCTGCCAGACAACACAATGAGCAAACTGCTGAGCAAAGCTCTGTGGTATGTTGAGGTGCTCCTGCTGCAAGTGGGAACAAATGAGCAGCATGCAGCATGTGGCAGCTGGTGCTCATAGCAGCTAGTTCACAGCCAGCTAGGGTGCCTATCTCATTGCACTGTGCACATTGTCCCAGTAAACATTTTGTAGCTCTACTAGGGGTAGGATCCAAACAGAAAGGCTACTTAATGGGATATTAGCCTTGCCTAAAAAAATCCCCAAAACCAAATTCATATTGAAATCTACTTTGAAATGTATTTTAATATTTCTATGTTCATGACACAAAGGATTAGTTGTTTTGTAGTCTTTATTTTTATATTTTGATGCAGTTGCTTTGTTTTAATTACATTGTGTCCTGTTTGTTCTCGGGTGCCTTGAGTCCTTATATCGGGAGAAAAGCAGGATAGAAACACAGTAAATAAATAAATACCAGGAAAAATCATATAACTTGGGCGTCACTAGAAAACCAATCGCAAATTCATCTTTAAATATTGCCCATAACCAATTTTTACAAGTGATGAGAAAAAGATATTCCAGTTATTTCAGTTATAAATCAATGTTTGTGAGGGTTAACATTACAATAAAAATTCAATATGTTGTTTGTAAACTTGAATAACACTTACCACCACCAAGAGTGTAAGAATCCTGGGGGTTCTCCCAATGTGATGTTTTTTTCCCATCTTATCTAAAACCAACATAAACACAGATTAGGGTCATTTTCTCATTTGGGCAATCTATATTAATGTTTTGGGTTTTTTAAAACCAAAATGCAAAATATATAGTAGTACATCTGAAATCTTACTAACTTAAAAATATTAAAACTGCGCTCATCTCCACATTTTGTAGTGGTGGAGTGTGTAAATCAATAATTGTCTTATGCCTTGGGCTTGTGGGTTTCCCATAGACATGTGGGTGGTAGAGACTACACAGACCTTTGGTATGATCCAGTAGGGCTTTTCCTAGTTCAGGAAGGGATCAAGTTTCAAGGAATAAAACACAAACCAGAAACAGTGGTATAAGCATATAGAAAAAACAGTATTGCAACTCCTATATATGTGATTTTGCTCTTCTTTAGCAATGAAAAAAGGAGCCCTTGAGTGAAAGAGTGCACATCAAATGATACAGTAATCTTACATAAGTGGGGAAAGCATTGGCCGATAATGCCCTGAATTATAATTCGTAACACTGGTCTATGTTATGTGTGAAACTATCTAAAATTGTAAAAGGCATAAGAATGATAGGAAACATACCTCTGATAAAAACGTCTGCGCAGATTTCTGTGCTCCTACATGGAGCAGATATTCATATACATATAGTGCTAACCTGGAAACAGAAAAAGTGGCTATTGAAATAAAATTATCATTATCTGATCCTTACATTACATAATATATAAATAAAATCAGAGCAAAAAATACACTGAGAGTAAGTTAATCTTGTGTACATTCCCAATTCTATATGTGCCCAAAAATTATAGCAAAGCTAAAAATACTATTATACAAAAACTCAAGTCTGTCAATATTTTATTATCTTGGACACATGCCCAGTTGGATAACAGTTCAGCTAGTATTATTCTATATTTATCCACACAAGCCATGCTTACAGTAAACAATACATGTATAATTATAGTCGTACTGAACGCTGCTAAACAAAGCCCCCAAACATGAAATTACTTGAATTTTTAGCAGTTTTCACTCCATATTTCTATTTGCTGTAAGAATACTCCAGAGTTATCCAAAACTAACCATCTCTTGCAAAAATGTGATGAGACTTATTTTATCCACTGAGTTGTTAAATAATGGTGACACAAGGGGGGGGGGGAACAGGAAAGGACAGAACCAAAGGACAAAATATAGAAAATGTAAGCCTTTCAGAAGAATCATCAAACTTTCTGTTTCAATTCTTGGTTTCTTCTAATTCCTGTTGGCCAATTGTTGATGTACTGGTACTGTCCTGACATAAATATAGATATTGATAGATTACAAGCACAAGCTGCTGTGTCAGAATCATTTATGAAGGAAAATAATTCCTCACTTCTTCTGAATAGTAGTTACTAGTTTGCTGTTTCATCAAAAATTTGGACACCATAGCTTTTGCAAGCCATAATTAAATAAAAATATTGTTAATTTCCTGTGGTTTATGGATGCTACTCTCTTCCACTGGGGTTGACCTCCAACTAGAAATGAAAGTTTTACATTATCATATCATATATGGTACATAAATTATTGGGGAATGAATAAACTCAAAATTTGTGCTGGTTCAAGAATGTAAGAAGAGTCTATGTAGTTACCTCTAATTCAAGCCCACAAAAATGCAAGTATGCTGTTTGAAGTATCCTATATACCCATGTATAAGTCTAGAGATTTTAGTAAAATAAAGTAACCCAAAAAACTGGGTCAACTTATTCACGAGTCAATGTGAGTACTGTACCTTAACTCATATATATATATATATGAAAAAACTCAGCTATTCCGTTCTCTAATCTGACTGGCAAAAAGCAAGAAAATCCCAGAAAAAACCAACACCCTCTATTGTTTACTATGGACCACCTTTAGCCTTTTTGAATTCCGGGGGGGGGGGGGGGGGGGGGGGGGGGGGGCGTTGTGACAGCAGCAGCTGATCCTCTGAGATGGCATTTAGTTAGTTATTTATTTATTTACTGCACTTGTAGACCGCCGTTCTCAGCCCTAGGGCGACTCACGGCGGTGTACAACATATAAAAAAACAATTTACAATAAGGCAATTACACAAACACAATAGCAACAACACTATTAATAATACAATTACACTAAATCATTCGCGACGTCTCAACATAGAATCACAATCCAATCTCGTTTTCCATATTCCGTTCCAATCATCATTGCCAATTGTTGTAGCACTTAGTCAAACGCCTTCTCAAACAACCACGTCTTTAGTTTCTTGCGGAATGTCATAAGGGAGGGCGCCTGTCTGATGTCTGCAGGGAGGGTGTTCCACAGCCGGGGGGCCACCACCGAGAAGGCCCTATCCCTCGTCCCCGCCAGGCGTGCCTGTGAGGCAGGCGGGATCGAGAGAAGGGCCTCCCCAGACGATCTCAAAGTCCTCGTGGGCTCATAGGCCGAGATGCGGTCAGACAGGTATTTTGGGCCGGAACCGTTTAGGGCTTTGTAGGCCAGCACCAGCACCTTGAATTGGGCCCGGTAGCAGATCGGCAGCCAATGGAGCTGGAACAACAAGGGGGTTGTGTGCTCCCTGCGTCCCGCTCCTGTTAGTAACATGGCTGCCGCGCGCTGGACTAGCTGGAGCTTCCGGGCCGTCTTCAAGGGCAGCCCCACGTAGAGAGCGTTGCAGTAGTCAAGGCAGGATGTGACCAGAGCGTGTACTACCGTGGCCAAGTCAGACTTCCCGAGGTACGGGCGCAGCTGGCGCACGAGCCTGAGCTGTGCAAATGCTCCCCTGGTCACCGCTGAAACCTGGGGATCCAGGCTCAACGATGAATCCAGGATCACACCCAAGCTGCGAACCTGCGCCTTCAAGGGGAGTGCGACCCCATCCAGCACAGGCTGTAACCCTATACCCTGTTCGGCCTTGCGACTGACCAGGAGTACCTCTGTCTTGTCTGGATTTAATTTCAATTTGTTCGCCCTCATCCAAAGGCATTGGTCCTTTCTTCTCTCTGTGGATAACTCTTAACTTATCAATGAGTCATATCAACATTCAGAATTTTGGCCCTCAAATCTCCCCTCAATTTATGCATGAGTATCTACAGTAACACTCAGGTACCTTATATGTTTAATGTGTTAAAGGTTACGATAATCCAGGTAACTAAATACCCTAAAGGCACTAGATCCCATCTAATCCTGGAAGCTAAGCAGGATCAGCTCTGATTAATTCTTAGATAGGAGAACACCAATGAATGCCAGGTGTTATAGGTTCTATTTCAGCGGAAGGAGCCAGTAAAACCACCACTGAGTGCTCCTTGCCTAAGAAACCTAATGAAATGCATGTGCCTTCCAGCAAATAAGTGACTGGAAGGCACATAATACACATACATGGGCACACACGAACAAGCCAAATGCACATTTTAATTACATATTCTTAGAAAAATACTGTTTCCTAGCTCAAATTGTAAAATTAAGTACTGCTAAATAAAGGATAGGTTGTTGTCTGAAAATGGCAGCCTTTTTGGATCTATCTAGAGGCCTAGACAAGTAGGTTTCACATGCTGATAGGTGTACTATGCTTTGCTCTTCCATGACAAATGTTCCTTTAATAGCTGAATGATAGGAGCAATTTAGTAGTGAAGTTCCCAAATTCCTCATCCAGCAAAAAAGCAAAGCTATGCCTGTTGCATTTATGCTGGGTGTTGTGTTTATGCTGGCCATGTAACCCATTCAAGGCATAAAGACATGACATAAAACAAATGTAACAGTTTTTATGTACGCAGTTCTATAAAAATGAGAAAGGCATTTCAAGTCCACATGGTAAAACAAAATGTTATGTTGAGTACAGGCTGAATATTTAAAACTCACTGAGGACAACACTGAATACAGGTAAACACCGGAATGTCTATTTATCAATGTCAAACAGAGGTACTACAGCACTATGTTATGAAAATAGTTGAGACTAGAAACACATTTTGTATCACAACATGCTTCAGTTGGTTGTACGCAGAAGAGAAGGAGATGAAGAGAAGTTTTCACAGAAGCTGCATACTGTTGTTCATCAGAACACTATGGTGGGGAAAAACTGACCTGAGATCCTAAAAGACAAGGTATGGCTTATCTTTATGCCCTCCCCATCAATGGCAATGCTCTCATAGATTTGAACAATTAGATTTGAACAACTTTTCTAGGCAGTGAGATAATCATTCCTACTCACAACAATGATAATCTGTTTTCTTCTTAAGGCAGTCACTTGTGCCGATCTTGTCGTACAAGACTGTGATTTTGAATGCTAATAACTAAAATATATTGTGGGGCCCAAAATAAATTGAAGATCATAGTCAGGAGTAATTGCAGCAAATTCACCACACGGCTGTGAAGTTTTCCAAGGTAACATATCAATCTTAAAACATTTTCTCCAATGAGTCTGAAATACAAATTAGCATTTTCTAAAATCAACCATGACCAGCCTATGGTCTTTTAGCCATTCTGTCTTCCAAAGATTTCAAGACAATTTACTTTATGAAGATGACAGACTAACCTCAAAGAGCAGTTGGATGATGCAACTGTTAAAAAAACAACCAGTTTTTCTGGTTCGACAGCCACAGAAATCTTGCTATGCTTTTACTTCTTCTTGCTTACTTCAGCTTTTAATTTTCTTCTCCGAGAACACCAAGGGCACATTTCAATGCAGTAAGTATTCAGGTATATTATTCTTGACCAAAAATGCAGCAATACAAAAATACTTTCAAAGGTTTATAGAATAAAAATACTCAATAGATAATATTCAGCACATACTATTAATGAAAACTATCTAAGCATCTGAATTCAAAAAAGGACATAGGATCCAGCCTGAAAACTGATTATCATGAAGCTTGCACTACTATGCTTCGGCAAACAGTAAATAAGACACCAAGAGGTTTGAAACTCTGATAAAAAATAAGGTACTTCAGCTTATAGTGTCATAACACAAAGCAGAAAGCAGCAGCATCAAATATGAAGGTATTAAATACTGAAGATGCTCATCCCACAAAAACACATTTCTGTAGATCTGAAGAGTACAACTTGTCTGTACTAAAAAAAACTTTTATGGAGAGAGTAGGTCTGTTTTCTGCAACCCCAACAATCTGCTGGAGATGCTTTAATTGGAGATCCTGCACTGAGAAGGGAATTTGCCTTGATAGTCATCATGAAGCCCCTTCCAACTCTGAATCTGGATCTCTCAGCATCCATTCAGACACATGTAAGTAATAGCTTGTCTGCCATAGTGACTCTTTAGGCATGTGCACATAGCTCAGCACTGTCTGAACTTCATCTTTAAGTAACCCTAATTCCTCATGAGGAAAATGCTGAGACCATTTCCTAGGCATCAATGATGAACACCAAACTATTCTCATCTGCACTGCTGCAAAGAGGTTTAGAATCTTATTCTTTTGGGCACATTTCAAGTATTGACTTTTGATATAATATTTATTTATTATTTATTTATTTACGGCGCTTATATGCCGCCCTTCTCACCCCGAAGGGGACTCAGAGCGGCTTACAATATATATTTCATACAATATATTATATTATTAGCAAAGTACAATATCAGTATATATTACTATATTGCACTATACCATTATATTGTAATATTATTAGTAATATTACATGTAATTAAATATATAATTATAATTATAATAT